CCGAAATATCTAAATATCGAGTATCCTTTAAAGACAGAACTGCGTTTTATTTTCCTATTACTCGTTTCATAAAATACTAGTTAGCAAATCTTTTCTTTATTCTCGTATTACTCTTAAATGTACGATCTAAACAGTAGAATTTACAAAATTGGTTCATAATTTTTAGCATATGGGTTAGAATAAGTCAATTTTGTTGTTAGACAACTTTTCTTATAGTAATAACGTAGAATTTAATTTTTTTTCTAGATAATTTTTCAAGTGTATTAGTAGAGCGAAATGAAATACGTGAAAAAGTACTCGCTCATCTCATTTCAATGACTGTCCAACTCAAATATCTTCAAATTGAACGATTCGAATGGCTGTTACATGTTGTTCAATACGTAAGGCATTCTTTTATTTATGAATTAGGTATATTTCCGTGAATATATCTATGTTACATATAATTCATTTAAATATATTCAAATGAATGAATTGGACAGTTGAACCTTTATTTTAATAATGAGTAAATACTTTAGAGTTATTAAAGGAAGATAGTTTTCATTAACACTTATCGTTATATATCTACTTCAGTCAAAAATTGTTGGCAATGCAAAACGATCAACTGTTTTTTTCTCGTACCACTTTAAAACATCTGCTTTGATTTGACAAATCAATTCTAATCGAACAAAACAATTTACTTTTTTTTGTTGTTTTCTATTTAGATACCTGACGATCTAAGAATGAACGCATTAAATACTGTTCGATATGCTGAATTTCGTCTTCCGAGTTGTCATATAGGTAGAAGCGACGTAATACATATTGGCAAACACCTTGTGCCTTTTCTTAGCACATATATGCCTCATTTACAAACATTACGTCTTTGGCGATCAGATGATTTTCCTTGGACAACTAGTAAGTTTATTTTAAACAAATAAAATTAGTCAAGATAAAACCTTTTACTAATCGACAATAAATATTATTCTGTTTTTTTATTTTTATTATGGATTACATTTTGTCCTTTATTACCCAAAAGGTTGTTTTTACAACGATTGTTAATCAACCAGAATGAAAAATTTTCTTTTTTTGTTTGTATCAATTTCATTCACGTCTTATTTTGTTTCACTGAACAAGATTTTGTAACTATGTGACATAGACTCGATAGTTGAGAATTAATATGGAACGTTTGTAAACGCTAATTTTATCTTCGAATTCTCTAAATTGCAAACGTCGTAATTGTAGAACGGATTCATTTCCTCAGTATGTAACTGATTTTGATGATAGATTATATTATATCTTATTTATCATCATGAATCAATTATAATAAACGAAAAGAAAACTATTTTTGAATTCGAACTTTTGTATATTTTAAGAACTAATAATGTTTCATTTTCATTGTCTTTTTTCTTTATTTAAGTTCGGCCAGATTATAAAGAAAGAAGATATTATGAAACTTCAGTTCTACAATGGCGGAAGTCTCTAAAAACGCCCGAATCGATTGGTATATATATACAAATACAATGACTTCATACAAGAAAATAAATTAATAATATATTTCGATTTTTAGATCAACATGTAGCCGTCTTTGAACAAGATCTTTGTCAACTGACCGGAAAATTAAAGGACTTTATCTTTCTCGATATTTATGGCGAAATTCATTATGAAAAAGTTGAACCTTACCGGTCGATGGTTCAAGCTCGCTTTCCTGATAGTCGAATAGATGTTGAAATATCAAGATTTCGTTTGTGGCGTTAATTTCCTGTTTGTTTGTTATATGCAACAGATGTGTATTAAAGACAATTATCTAGCTAATTACTTATTATTTTTCTGCTTGTCTCTCTTTAATATTATAAATTGTAAAAGATTTACATCCAATAATGAAATATTAATATTATTCTGCAAACAATATTTAGCTGTTTTTTGAAGAAATCTAATGGTGTAATTGAAGAAGAATGCAGCTTCTCCTACAAACATTGGAGTCTCTAGAAAAGTTTGAAACTGTTGTCAGTGCAAATGTGTGTCTCCCTAGAGGAGACTTAAAAATGATTGAGCCCTCTCCTTCCACAATGGCCAAAAAAAAGGATTAGAGACAATCCTTTTAATTACTTCAGCTATCAACTTAATATTTTGTATACATATAGACATAATTTCGTACTGATTATCCATGTTTCCCTAGTCTCCTTTACTCGAAAAATTCCTAGAACATGAAGTTTTCGGCTTTTAAAAGCTGTGAATTAAAATAATAAAAGTAGTTGTTTCATTATAGCCGCCATGGTTGAGTGGTTACGTTGTTTGACACGTGTCCACAAGGTATCATGTTCAAACCTCGGTACTACCAGCCATGGAATGACTTTGGACAAGTCACTAACGGCTGTTTGTCCCGGATCACCCATCCGATAGCATGCTGATTACATGTGACATACACCGGGCCTTGTGCCTAGTATGTGGTTAGTCAGTATGTATGGGGAGCTTAAGTAATTAAGCGACAAGAACTCTGCGTCAGGTCGGCCTTCTGTCCAGAGCTGCAACTAGTAATATTTGTAGGAAAAGTATCGGGCTCATGAAACTGTCCTTGGACAGCACTCTACACCGAAAGGTAGCCGAAAGGCAAGGGTATTCTTCTTCTTCTTCTTCTTCTATCTTTAGAGCACATAAAATTAAAAAAATTCTTTCATTTTTTTTAAAAAGAGGGGGTACCCTTAAGAAAGGACGGGGGCGCATAAGAAGCCAAATCGGCCCATTAGGACTTTCTTTCGCTAATCTCATTAAATCATACATCAATTGAAAGAACACATTGAAATTAGTATTTTGACACTATTTGCACAGGGTTTCGATAGAACTTTCGAAGAAAAAAACTATTAACAAAGTAAGACATTTTTACTCATTTATGCAATAATCGACCCTATCATAGTTGACCCAGCTGTGCAATAAATTAATTAAAAGGATAGTTCTAAAATGAGCTATTTGGTAGCTTTTTTAAAGGCCTTCAATCCTGTATATGAATCAACAACTGATTGTTTCATTTACCGGTAAGGAGGATTGCAATACTGGTGGACACTGTTGATATAAGTCGAATATTTGCTATCAACTTTTATCTTTCAAGAAATATTTTCCGAGAAAAATGGAAGGTACCAAAATTCTGGTATTACTCGTTGGAAAGCCCTTTTCAAAAGCTACAAAACTATATATTTTCTAAAGTCTAAAAAGTT